AGGCTTCAGTCAGTCGCGTCGAGCTGCTGGTCGTCGAGCTGCCGGTCGTTGAGCCCGACAACAGTGCACGACCGACGGGCGGACGCCATGAGCTTATCTGGGGACTACCAATTAGGTGGTGGGCGAAATCCCGCACGCGCATTGGTCTAAAATCGTCGTAACACGGCCTTTGGGCACCCGCATTGGCTGATTTTTTGCCAAATGCAACACCCGCATTGGTCTAAAAGAAATAATTCGGTAACACGAAGTTCGAAGCCGTCAGATCGCGATCTTCGCGCAAGCGTTTTGGCGCTTCAGCACACTCGTGCTTGGCGACATGGAGCGCGAGTGAGCTTGCTTTACTGCTGCTCAGTAAAAGCCGTGACCCAATAGGGCTTGACGGACAGTCCATCGTTCTTCATCAGTGGTCGGTGCTCCGATCGATTCCACGGGTAGCTGCCAGCCTTGCCACACGCATCAACGCGAGCTACGGTCTCGCGATCCTCATGAGCAATACCTACACTAGGCAGTACATGATGCTCAAGAAGTTCGTCGTGATCTATGAGCTTCTGTAGGGTAGTGATAACTAGAGACTCTACGAGCCGCCATATCGGGTCGCACACAGGGCATTACTATCGAAGAAAAGTAGCAGCATCATTGCGTAAGCACAGATTGCTGGGTTGATGAACTCCGCGAGTAAACGCTCGAGTTCAATACCCAGCTCTCTAGACTCGGCGCCAACGATTCTAATTGGTCAAAAAACCTGCGTGAGGGGGCCAAACTGACCAGTGCGGGTGTTGCGTTCGCCCAGTGCAACACCCGCATTGGCTACAAGGCTTTTACGCTCGTTAATTGGTAGAAATTAGAGTTTATAGGCGCATTTAAAAGGTGCCACCCAGGTATACAAACACCAGCATGTAAACCACGCATGGCATGTAAAGGAGCATCCGCCATGAGCTCCCGCCGCGCGCAGAGTACCGCTTGCACAAGATCGCCATGTCATATCGAACTTCCTCCTTCTTTTCTTCTCTTTCTTCGATTTAACAGGCACACGTGTGTTATAGTCCCACCATTTAAAGGGTAGTCGTCATGAGCTTGCAGCAGAGCTAGACGGTTGCCACAAAGTTTGTGGCAACCGTCTAGCGGGATCACTGGCCAATGCCTATTCGAGTATCACAAATCGAGCATAGGCATTGGCTGGCGATCCTCATCGAGCATAGGCATTGGCTGACAAGTATCCGGATTGTATCTGGTGGTTTAGCGCACGGCTATTGGTAGAAATTAGGCCGAAAATAGGCCCCTTTATGGGGCCTATACAAACATCAAATGGTTTTATGCGGCATCTATTTTTGTCGTTCAACCACGATAGAAGGTCAGCTTTCGAAGGACATGGCGATGGGACGACGCAAGGGAATCCTTGGGACGACGGGACGATGAGACGATGGGACGTCATTCCAAAGTCGATCTTCTCTTCTTCTCTTCTTCGCTTTTATTAGGCACGTTTGTTAGTTCCCCACAGTTTATGCGGTACTCGTCTGATATCCGGATACTTGCGAGCGAAATTGATGGCGCTTGTCACTTGGTTACAAGCTCCAATGGTAATGGAGCAGCTCATGGAGCGGCATGCTGCTCAGTTAAGCCACTACGATGTTCCCATCCACTTGCGCGAGGAAGCGTTGCTCAAGGCTCTCTCCAACGACTATGGCTGTCCGCTACTGCGGCGCGAGGTCGTCGATGGCAAGACGAGGATTGTTGCAACAAGATCCGCAGAGCCCGAGAGCGGCATTTGGGTCCTCGATCATGCATGGCTCTTCCAGACGGCTCGCAACGCGCGCGAAGAGCTGGAAACGAACGAGACTCTGCGCCACAAGATTCAGAAGATCACGTCGCACTTTGCGCCAGAGGTGGCGACGGTGGATGATATCGTCGTGAATCTTGTGCATTGCGCGTACAGCATCAAGTTTGGCCACAATGCGTCCGACCTGTACCACTACGTCCTTGATGACGTCGGTGCAATGTACAAATTTGTCTCTCGGACTACGCACCTCACGACATTTTATGGTAGTCTGCGTTGTGGCAAGAGCAACAATAACGTCCAAGTCGCGCCACTTTTTTGCGTTGACACGGGCAAGCTTTTGTCGCTGATTTGGCCAGTGGCCACAATGGCAGCTGGAGACGAGATTGTGCGACCGCACGCGACCAAGATCTCGCTCATTCAGCTCGGAAAGCAAACGTACTGGGAAAGCCGGTACGAAGACGAAGACGAATTCGACTGGTACTGCTCGTATGCGATCATGCGCGACCTCTTTCGGCGTTACGCAGTGCCATCGGACGCTGTGCTTATCGCAGGCAGTGGCGCGAGCACGCTCCCCATTGACATGGAGAAGGACGGGTACGTTAGATTCCCGCGAGCAGCACGATACCTTGACGTAGGTTCTGCAATGTGACGGCCACCGACTACGCAGCCAACGTCGTCAAGAACATGCAAGCGAAATATGCGGACTCCTCGGTGCATTTTGTATCCGCCGACATGACCAAGATGACAGGGTTTGGCGACAACTCTGTCGCTTGTATCGTCGACAAAGGCTGCTTGGATACGATGCTTTTGGCGCCCGAGACTGACCTCGCAACCGGCACGCACGTTTGGAAGACGCTAACAAGTGACAACGCCGCCGACTTCCCGGATGCCGCGGCCGTCATGAGTGAATGCATGCGGCTTCTGCAACCGATGGGGGCCATGATTCTTCTAACGTATGGCAACCCAAACAACCGCATCGGCCTCCTCGATTGGCCAACAACTTCGGACCATCACATGTGGGAAATTCTCGAGTGCCAAGAACTTTCGCCAAGCGCTGCCGCGCCGAGTGTTGCCAAACCTTTTTTCATTTACGTGCTCCAAAAACAGCTCAAGGAGGCATAAGTACCAGCGTATATTCACGATACTACTAAATTGTCTTGCCTTCGGGGGGCACATTGAAGTCGACAGATCTCGGGATGCGACTCATCGCAGCATGTTCATCGCCGAGCTCTTGGAGCATATGCGTCCAGAGGTTTGTTGGTGGATTGAGCACCAACGCTAGAGGTGCCTCCACCATGAGCCAGCCACCAGTATCAAGTTCGCGTTGTAACTGCTTTGGGACCCAAGATGCATGGCCATGGACGAACGTGACCTATTCAATAGAAACTTTGGTTGACAAGGCTGATGACAAGATGAGCAGTGCGACTGCACCTTGCTGCGGTCGATGTTGGCGTGGGCAGGCTTGACCAACAGCGAGAGGTCGTGCTGAATGAAGAGCGGGGTATCCACTTCGTCAGGCGTTACAAGACTGCCACCAAGCTCGGCGTGTTGATGCAAGAACTACATACTAGTACGTAAGGAATAGGTTATGAATGCGTGAAGGTTGCACCTGAATTGAGTTGTTCGCAACAGGACCACCAAACAAAATCGGGTGCGACGGAAAAGCGGTTTGAAGCGCACTCTCGACTGGGTAGCTACCAAGCGACGACTGTTTCGCGTCACCTTTGTCGTTGATGATGACGCCCTTCGTGCCCTTTGTGTCGTGGCGCGTCAGCAGAACCACGCTCTGCTCAAACGGCCGCACGGTCAGAGGGTGAGCGATCAAAAAAACGCCCCGACGAATAGTTCTACTCACAGGCGTCAACCGTTGCGAGAGGCGACGCTATCTTACGTTGTAATGCGGGGAGGGCGTGAGGGTAGCTCGTCTGACTCGACGTGCAGCAAATTGTGCTCCCGAGCAAGATGCAGCTTGGCATTGAGGTAGCGCAAACCACGGAAGGCTGCGTCGAGCGCCTCTGATGAAGCTGGGGACGTTCGAAAGAGTGCACGCATGCGATGAGTAGCCGACTCGTACGGCCAGTAACACTACAGCAGATCTTGTGAATGAGAGGCCCCGTCGTCCTGGAGCACGAGATGTACCAGTTGATGCTGGTGTAATCCCATGACAGCCTTGTAGCATATAGCATTGTCAGCAATCTCGCTGGGGCACAGAAGCGCCTTTACTGCTGCGTGTTTGTCGAGAAGATAGGCGCTCCGGAGCAACTCGCGGTACAGCACACGGGTCACCGGCGAAGTCGATCGCATGGCCTGCGTTCAAATACCCGGATACCGTGCCACCAAAACAAGCCATCCGGATACGCAGCGTTGTGCCTTCCGCTGAAGCCACGATGGCGACATGAACTGTGCGACCCTTCTCGAACTTGTTTCCGCGTTGCCGAGATTCAGTTCGGCGTGGACCACCAGCACCGTTGATAAGGACTTGGGCTCTTTACGGACGGTTCTTGCGAACTGGTGCTACCGGCATTGGTTGAAGTGGTTGAAACCGTGCGAAGGTAAGCGAAGTCGCGGAACGATCTACATCACATGCGGATGGAAAGCTACAATTGTACAATTGTTGGTGCTTATGGGCGCCAACGATCTGGTCATGCACACAGCTAGGGCAGCTACCACCGTTGGTGTGGTCCAGGGTGTGTTTTGTTATAGCAATATGTCGGTCACTATGCTCCGAACCGGCTCCTGTCCCCATGATGTACGTTGTCTTATGCGATTGCTTGCAGTGCGCGCCAAGACTAAACACAATGCTCGTACAGCGAGGATAGGATAGTACATAAAGATTTCGCTTGCTTGTCGTCCCTACTTAATGCGAAAACCTTCGGCACGCAGACACTGCTTGTGAGCTTCAATAACGTCGGCGCAGTGTTCTTCACCCTTGGAGATAACGCAGAGGTCGCGCACCGACTTGGTCTCGGGGCAGGAGCAGCAGATCTTCTTGCCCGACTTGCCGACGACGGGTCCGTTCTTGTCTTCCATGCTAACGCTGCGCGGTTGGTTTCTTCGCGAATGGCAATTTCGTAGATTACCATTGGCCAAGCGGGCACATAAAAGAACCACCGCACTTAGAGCAGCGCACTTGGTCGAGATGTGCCTCGGAAAAGCGCACCAATATGGAGAATTAGGTGCGTCTCTGCAGCAACGCTCAAGGGACGTCAATTCAAGCTTCTTGTGGCTGCAAGCATGAAGACGACGCTCGTACTCCTGACGCTGTGCTTCGCTGGTCTGCTCCAGCTCGCTGTATGCGACCCCCGCGAGCAGGAGAAGTCGAGGTACGACGATTGATGCCATAACACCGGCGCGCGAACGTCTCAATCGTAGCCGCAACGACTTTGAGGATGTCGAGCTCAATATCGAGACCGTGCGCTCGAAGCGCGGGTATACGCTGGACCTTGAGCACTCCATCGCCAAAGATGGTATGATCGGCACCTTCTCGCCCCGCGGTGATGTCAACATTGATTTTGCCCCGACTAAACCAACGGCCATTTTCCCGTCGAAACTTACGCTCAACGAGCAGCAGCGGTCCGCATTTCAGGTTTGCCCTGATGATTCATTCCAACCTATCGTCATGTGTGCCTAGAAACTGGTGGCTCAAGACGGGTTTTACACGGTTCGCGCCCGCTCCGAGCCAGGCAACCCGAAGTCGCCGTTTGTCGTGGCTTCCGTGCCTGCCGTACGGCGTTTCCGTTATGACAATGGCTGCGTGATTCTCATATTGCACCATAGTGCTACCTAGTCAAGGCGCGCTTCCGCGAGGACCTAGCGTTCCATGTGAACGAAGTCGGCCACTTGATTTCGATTGAGTTCCGAACGCCCTTCGTTGACAGCAAGACGTGCAGTGATGTCGCTAAGGTTCGTGGTAGGGATACTTGTACGGCTGAGATCAGTTTCTTGGTAGCGCGTTCTCAAGGAGGCCACCTTTTACAGCACTGGCGCCATCTTTGGCGCAACGGATGGCCCTGAGTAAACTTGGCTACGAGGCATGGCATGATCGATCAAACTCACGGCATTCGCCTCTTAGAGTCCCGCGCATCGTCATCACCGCCACAAAGGTGGCTGCGCCTCCTGGAGTTGCCCCTGTGCGTTCCGAGAACGAGCCCGAGCCCGAGGAGCAGCAGAGCTTTTTCCGCAAATACGTGAGTCCCTGTCGTTCATACGTCCCTCCTTATGCGATCTGCACCTCGTAGTGGTACATCATTGTGCCGCTCTTGATCGTGCTCTTGCAAGGCGGTGATGCGCCGGCAGCCCAAGGTCAAGGAGGCAACGCAGCTCCAGCCCGCCGATAAACCTCGCATTTTCGACGTCATTTGTCCACCTGAACACATTCACGACACACATAGTTGATTGTCTCGTTCATAAGGTAGTAAAGCAAATTTGCTGCTAGACCTTATTCGCAATGAAGCGATCCGACTCAGATGACTGTGCTGCGTCCGCCGGCCACGTGTTGTTCGAGATGAGCTGGCCCCAGATGGTGTTGTCTCCTGTGGCCACGACGACGCCAACGCCGTCACCTTTGATGATAGTCGTCGACATGAACACCATGTTGCGGCTCAATATGCCCTGATCCTTGTCGGTGCATTCGGTGGTGCCGACCCGCGGGTTGCGTTCGTTGGCCAGGCTACTCATCTCCACCTACCATAACGTTTAGACTATATCAATAAATCTGGATCGGCGTGTCGGTCGCACCGTAAAATCTTCGGAGCATTCCAAGAGTCTGCAGTCGGCTGCGATGACGTCTCCAGCTACATGCGCATTGCCTTGAATGGAGCTGACTTCTTCGAATGTCCACGAACCTTTAAACATGACAACGTCGCCAAAGACGAGGCTGGCGGCGTCCATGCAGAGCTTTTTGCCACTGCGAACGACGGTAACCTCCTTCGGGCAGTTGGCCGTGTATAGTCGCATTGTCTCTGTCCGGAGAATACATGGCAGCAGGCAGCAGACCCACGATGGACAGTTTACGGGTGGCGTCACGCGGTTGACGCCGTGCAAAAGCCGCCGAGCAATGGCTTCGTCGCGCGTCAGGCCCTACAGGTATTGGAGTTAGAATGCCCGTAAGGGGGGTCTGGTGGCTACAAAGGCGAGCTCGACGTTGGTCTTTGCAAGGAAGTCCCGCTCCGACATGCTCTGGATGTCCTACGCAACTCATGTATGTGAGCGCGAGCTTGGTTCATCATTCAAATGCTACCGCCGGCAGATGGACTTGACCGATGAGTGCTTCCATCGTCGCAAGTCTTCGAGACGCCAAAATGAAATTGGGTGCAAAAATAGCAAGCATGCGATCCAGCCGGTTAACGTATCCGGTGGATATCGCATTCGTTCCAACCGCCCACGCGGCATGAGCATGAGCTCCACCATGGGGCAATGGCTCCACGCGGCAGATGTATTTAAGTATATCAGACAACTGCGTCCGGCGGGAGGACACGCGCACTATCCCTACTCAGCTAAAGACTCACAACAACGAGAAAAGGCAGGGTGAACATGCAGCATTTTATAGAGTAACTCGGGAGAGGATGATGTATGACAAACTACACTGTGCAAAAAGAGGGTGTGCTACCGGAGCACGTTTAGACATCCGTGCCATGGTACTCTTCAGCCGGGAAGTGGCCCAAGTGATCAAAGCCGTACTGCGACGGGTTGTACTGCTGCGCTTGGGCTTCTTGGAACTCTCGCTCCGTCTTATTGCTGTTCCACTCTTCCATCTCACGCTTGTAGCGGGCACGGTCCTCCTTCTCCTTCTCGACGAAGGGCGCCTTCTGGGCCTTCGTGGCCTTTGCCCACGCTTCGCCAAGTTGCTTGGAAATCTCCGTGTTCTTCATGTCAGCGTGCTCAGCCTTGATGCGGGGGCGCATAACTTGCGAGTAGAAGAGGAAGGCCGACGACGCACGCTTGGGAGCGTTCGGGTGCTTTTTGGCGCGCTTGTTGGGCACACGGAGGGGACCGTCGTACGTTGCCATCTCTTCCTCGTACCGCTGCTTGTCCGACTCGGCCGAGAGCTTCCATGGCGCCTTCTCTTCCTCCGACATCTTGCTCCACGCGTCAGCAATGGCACGCATGACGTCCGTGACCTTTGAGTTCGGGGGCATTGTCGCCTTGATCTCCTCACGCTTGTCCATCGAGAAGAGGATGTACGGCGACTTGCCTCGCTTGGGAGCACCGGGCGCCTTCTTCTGTAGACGACGCTTCTTCTTGTTCACGACAGGGGGCATATCACCCCAGACTTCGTTGGCCGAGTGCGGCGAGTCCATCTTGATCGTGTCTTCTTGGGCGTAAATGGTGGATATCGTAGCTATCGCATCATTCCCGTGAGATGACCAGCTTCGTCGGCAGCATGCCGTTCCAGTACCTCGTCGGCTTCACAGGGTCTATCTATAGTATAGACGCCGCCAAAGAGAAATTTGAACTGACGTTGAATATAGTATACTACCGGCGGCTTAAAAGGCGCTGCTTCTTTTTGCGCCCCGCGTTCTCCCCTACCCCGCATAGTGATTTCATTGGCTCCCGAGAAATACTCCGCCAATCAAAGCCGAAAGTGTGCGCCCCAGCTGGTTTTGAATTTTTCAAGCAGCCCACGCGGTCTGTTTAAAAAAAACCTGTGCCATCTGATACAAAAAGCAAGTTATTCAATGCCAGCGATACGACCGCAGCTGCTTCAAGTATTTTTAGCCGGGAGCCTGCAAGCCAGCCACAGAAATAGAGAAAACAAGATATTATAAAATAATGCTGCTTATTACAGCAATTTGGTTCTGTCCGTCAATGCACAACACTATATATATAGTAGTAAAATACTGTATTGCCTAGCTGACACCACACAGCGCAAATCCGAACAATGGCCAAGCACCACCCCGACCTCATCATGTGCCGCAAGCAGCCCGGCATTGCAATCGGCCGCCTCTGCGAGAAGGATGACGGTAAGTGCGTCATCTGCGACTCGTACGTCAAGCCTCAGACGCTTGTGCGCGTCTGTGATGAGTGCAACTACGGCTCGTACCAAGGCCGCTGCGTCATCTGCGGCGGGCCTGGTATCTCAGACGCGTACTATTGTCGAGAGTGCACGCAACTTGAGAAGGATCGCGACGGCTGCCCAAAGATTGTCAACGTTGGCAGCTCCAAGACCGATCTCTTCTATGAGCGGAAGAAGTATGGCTTCAAGAAGCGGTAAACCAACGTGTAATGTATCCTGCATTGCAAGTACGATGCATTCCTGTTGAATTGTCGTATGGCAGCTATCTCTAGACTGCAACGTGCGGCCCTGCGGTGGTTGAGACTGATTGAAGCGACTTGACCTTGGAGAAAAGACACTGTCGATCGCCCGGAGCATTCATGCTGGAGATGGGGTACAAAGGTTATGATTGCATGTCATACACGTGTAATAACTATTAAGACATATCGGTGCTCGCGAGCAAAATCGATTCCTCTTGCCGCCACTTTCATCTTGCGGGACAACTTCCTTGGCCACCAACGCCTTGGCAAAAGATCGCAGAAGCCCATCGCCAAACGCTTCGTACTTCGATACCGAACTTCGAAGACCACAGATTTATTCCGCCAACCATCAATCTGGAAACGCAACAAGATGGCACCGACTGCAGGGACGATCCTTCGTTTAAAGAAGGCGGGCGCCAAGCCCAAGAAGAAGACCCTGTCGCTCAAGAACAAGCTGCGCAATCTTGAGCGCCTTCTGAAGAAGGACGTACGTCATTGATTCCATCGTTCTCCAATGCCTAAACGATTATAGACGCTGCCCGAGGACATTCGCACAGCCAAGACGCAGGAGCTCGCCGACCTCCAAGCGCAGGTGGAAACCAAGCTGCAGCAAGAGACTGAGCGCGAAATCTCGCTCAAGTACAGAAAAGTCAAGTTCTTTGACCGGCGACGCGTCATGCGCACGCTGAAAAAACTGAAGGCGCAGATCACGGCTACACGGACCAAGGCGTTGGAGGAAGCTTACGAGGCTGCGAAGAAAGACATGATGGTATCGTATAATAAGTGGATTCCGTGGTGCTGATAACTCCTGCTGCGATGTAGTACATTTTTTACTACCCCAAGGGCGAAAAATACATCAACCTCTTCGCCGAGAAGACCAAAAAACAGCATTCTGACGACGAACTTGCTCGGTACAGAGAATCACTGCATACGAGTTGTGTACACACACGCGACTAGGCAAGGTGAGTTGAAGGAGGCGGCGATCAAAGCGTACAAGGCACAGAAGTCACACGCCGATTTCGACAACTACTGCTTCTGCGACGCAAAGGAGTCGTCAGCGGCAGAATCCGACGAAGTGGGCCAAACGCTCTATACCGTTATCTAAAATAATCTAGGAGAACGCGAAGGATGAGGACAACGATGACGACACTGCGGCGTCCAAGAAGATGAAGCAGCCAAAGCGCAAGCTGGCTGAAGCCAAGCACAAGAGCAAGCGCCGCAAGCAGCACGAAACCAACGTCCAGGTTGTTGCCGACACTGAGGGCAACGTGGCCACTGGTGATGACGATGATTTTTTCATGTAAACGATATCGCCAATCGTACCAACTATAATGGATTGCATTGCCATGAAAAGAAAGTAGCGTCATCACTCATTCACACCGCCAACGCAAGCACTGTGAACGTTCGTATTTGTTGTACACCTTGGCTGCCACGCCTTCCTGTCACACTACGTAAGCCTCTGGCCTTCTCGAATGCGTCGTACTCAAAAGCATTGGTCAAGGACAATTTGTCCTTGACCAATGCTCGCCGCCCACCAATATGAAGGCGACCCAGATATTCTCAAGATGACATCCAAATCCGTGATCGCGATCTTCCGCTCAGCAAGAAGGTACAAATCACGACTATCATCGCCATTTCGTGCGAAGGTGCAAAGTACTCGGCGGTCCAAGCCTTCAACGACAGCATTTTTAGCATCATCGCGCTACCACGGTCGATCCTGCGCTATCAAGCCGAGGAACTCGACGCGCCCAGCAGCAGCACATGATCCTCAGCATCGACCTATTGTATTGTCGACAGCTTTGTAGACCTTGGCATAATAGACCGAAAGAGCTTTTGAAGCTCTCATGAACATCACTTTTACGATCATTACGCTGACGCACAGCAGACCCAAGAAACGACGCTTGGGGTTGCGTCCCGCGATGCTTATTGTGCTGGTGTGGATACCCGAAGAGAGCTAACGAGTGAGCTTACCTGCGACGAGGAAGATGTTAGGGATGCGGTCGATATCTCCTGCCTGCTAACAACGCAACCAATGGTCACAGTACAGGTAGCCCTCAGTTCACTGCCGGACAGTGTGTTGACGTCTTCAGTAAATCGAGAGCAACGGCTTACTACACACACATGTGCGAGCTACAATTGTAAGAGTGTACCGGTAGGTGTGCACAAGGGTATATAAGAGATGCATCTCTTATATACCCTTGGTGTGCACTCGTGCAATTGCGAAAAATTCGACAGGAAATTACAGTCTCGGTGCGGTCTCGGTGGCTGCTGCTTGTGCTTGGCCAAGGCTCAATGTGATTTTGCCGTCGCAGTAGCCAATCAGATCCGCGCCTTGAGGAATCTAGCAGGTGCGACGCCCCGATTGGTGTAAAATAGACATGGCGACAGCGTCATTTTTAATATCATTTTAATGTAGGTTTAGCTCACAAACATAGAGTTACCGAGTGAAAATTCAAAGTAGCAGAATAAAAACTGAATGGAACCGCCACTGGAAAGACGGCACCCAGCTGGAAGAGAGCCAGGCGCGGCCGCTGCAGAGGTGGATGTCGCCCACAAAGTGATGTTTCGAGCCGCTGCCACCACGATCCGACGCCGATACCGACCGACGAAGCGCGGCTTCTGGAACCTTGCGATGGCACCGCGCTTCTCCTGCCGCCTGGAGCAGTGCGACTACCTCCCTCTGCTAGGCGTCGCAGCCACTGCTGGCGCCACGTGGCTTGTGTCTAGCTCGCCTACACAAAATGACGGAGCGATTACATCCTCGCGGGTCTTTGACGACGAGTACGACATTGTGTTCTCTCGCGCACTCGGCTCTGGCGCCTTTGGTATGGTCATGCAGTGCATTCACAAGGACAACAACAAGTTGTCTGCCGTCAAGGTGATGTCCAGGGTCTCATCAATATCTCACGCATTGTTTGTGAATAGGTGATTGCTGACTGCTACGAGGAGGCGACGCGTGAGCGCACGGCTTTGAGCTGCGTCAAAATGGCCGGCGGCCACGCCAATATCGTTGAGCTCAACGATTACTACACGCACGACGGTTTCCACTACATCGTCGTAGAGTTCGTTGACGGCATGACGCTCTTTGATTACGTACAACAGCGCAAGCGGCTCCACGATGGCGTACGTTGACGTCGATGTCGCTAGCAGGACTAAAATGCAAACTTAGGCTGCTCGAAGCATCCTCACTCAGGTTGCGTCAGCTCTGGACTTTATGCACACGCACGGCATGGTACACTGCGACTTGAAGCCCGACAACATCATGATCGCCAACGACGAGAGCGCGCGCGTCAAGATTATTGACTTTGGATCCGCGACTATCCCGAACCCACGTGCCAGCTCAATGCCGCTAAAGCGCGCCATCACGCTCTCGAGCATTCCGCAGAGCGGTACCAAGTCGTATTGGTCGCCCGAAATGCTTAGCACCCCGCACGCGAAGGTCGAGGCAGCGATGGACATGTGGTCCCTCGGGTGCATTCTGTACATCATGCTCTCGGGCTGCCACCCATTCGACCCGCGCGGATCGCTTAGCGAGGCCGAGATCCTCCACAACGTGTGTCACAGCCCTGTCGAGTTCTCGCAACCCGTTTGGGAATCGGTCTCGGACGATCTCAAGAGTCTTCTGCGTGGCCTATTGGATAAAAACCCGGCCACGCGTCTCCGCGCCGGTGACGTGCTTCGGCTAATGCCGCCTTGTTAGTTGGGTTCACGCGTCTTTCTGTGTGGCGTTTACTGTAATGTGTGAGCCTGATTCAAACATTCCTCGTCTTGTCGTTTCAATATATCTTGAGCAGTCGTCATTCTCTTTTTGCAGCGAAGCATGGATGCTGATGGTCGCGTGTCCAAGTCGTACGATGAAGATGATGATACGCATGACGATGAAGTAAACGAGTCGGGATTGCGCTTCGACACCGACGACACAACGACAAAGCGATACACAGTCCAGGAGCAGCGAGCGGTGATTCGGCAGATCCACGAAAGCAATCAGATCCTCAAGCAAGAGCTTGCGATCGAGCTGCGCGAGGCCAAGACGATGATGGGTGCGGCCAAGCAGGAAAAGCTCCAGCGCCTCCAGAAGCAGAGCACGTCATATACGCAGAAGATCGAGGTTGAGAAGCGCACGATCGTCAAGCTTGAGGCTGCGATCCGTCGGCACCATGACGAGTTACAACGCGTCCGCGATGAGTTCGTGCAAAGCGAAAAGCTCGAGTCAGCTGCCGCTGCTATGCGTCGCCTCCGCGCCCTTGAGGTGAGGATGGGTCAAAACAGTCTACTACATGTATAGACATGGGAGTAGAACCGGCTCGAGATATCACTCGTCAAGAAGAACGAAGTCGACTCCGTGAACAAGCACCTGCGCCAGCAAATTGACAAGGTCCGGCGCGACCGGGTCGTTTTTGATGGTATCTACAAGAAACTCGAGCGAGAAACGTTCGAGTACAAAGCGCGCCTCGTAAGTTGGATCGCGAGGTGTGTGTACTGGAATGCATAGAATCGATAGGAAGCGGCGACGTCTGAGCTCGCTCGCAGCGTCTCAGGCAAAGTTCAGATTGATAAGGAAGTGCACGAACTCCAAGCTCTCGTCGACGCAGAGCAGCAGTCGTATGAAAAAGAGTTCCGCGAGCTTCGGGTGCGTGCAACTTCTGCATATCTATGCGCGAAGCACCATTCCATCGAATCCTGTAGCTGCTCATCGCCTCGTCAAGCCACGAGGCCGCGGAGCTCGCGCGGGCAATTGAGTTGGCCCCCGAAGCCGAGATTGTCAGCGGCCAGCTGTCGCCTGACCAGGAGCTGACTCTGCACCATGCCTCGGCACTCTCGTCATGGAAGATTGCGTACGATAAAGCGATGGCGAGCGCTTCGAGCGCCGAAGCTGTCAAGTACCAACAACTCTTCGAGCACATCTTTGCCGAGACTGGCGTCCCCGATGCCGAAAGGCTAACACTTGAAGTAATCCTTCAGCCCCAGTGTGGACGGACCTTGTCATTTTGAGCTAGATTCAGCGCAAGGACGAAGACAACTTCAAAAAATTCAAGCACGTTGAAGGCCTCCACAAAGAAGTGGACGACGTGCGCATTGAGTTGGATCGGACGGTCGCGGCGCTCGAAGCGTACAAGCAGCAGGAAGGACTTGGCGCAAGCGTCCTTGATAAGACGCACCTTCGTGCGCTCAGTGCCAAGCTGCGGTCCATCGACGAGCGCAACACCCAGATGGATACCGAGTTCGACGAGACGTGCGTGCGTCTCGGGCGGATCAAGGCGTCCGTGCACTCGATCTTTACGCTCCTGCATCAAACAACCGATAAGCAAAAAACGCCGTCTCACGGTAGCCTTACCGACATTACGGACGCGAACATGCTCGAGTACCTCGAAACGATCGAAAAGTGCGTCATCGCGCAGCTTACGCCAGCACCAGCCGCCACTCATAGCGCCGCCAAGCCAAAGTCCAAGCACGCGATTTCTCCTGCGAGCTTACCTGTGGCCGAGACGTCTAGTAGTTCGGGAGCGCGACTTCTCGACGAAGATGAACGCGCACTCACCTACGACGAGTTGCGCGAAGCTGCCCAGGACGAATTTCTGCTGACGGCGCCGTCGTAACCATACAACCTCCGTCCCAAGCTACACGTGTCGTGCAGTGCAAGAGGAGCAAACAACATGATCGACGAGATATATATGAACGAGAAGATCAATGCTACGCCGACTACTTGCGGCCGAGATGGCTTGGCGGGTACATGTTCTCCGTAAGTTCCTTCGGAAGCTCGAAGCCTGTGTCCTTGGCGTCCTTCACTTGGTGGCAGAGGTACATGGCAAGAGCAAACTCCTCGTTGTCGAGGAAGCCGTCCTTGTCGACGTCGGCGAGATCCCAAATGACCTTGAGCAGCTCCTGGGAGCAGCCCGTGGCAAGCAGAGGCGTCATACACGCCATACCGCTGGCCTCGCCCATCGAGTTGACGCTCAGCGTGCGGAAGATGGCGTCATATTCCTCCTTGAAAGGTGTGACGACCCAGTCGAGTGTCTTGGACAGGAAAGGGTTGATCGAGTCGCTAGAGTCGGTGCGAACATTCGTGCCGTCCTTCTTGGGCAGCGCCATCATCTACACACGTGGCTCATCGTACATCGTTTGTACCCATATATGCGTACGAGCTTGGGAATATCACGCGACATGAGCTCTTCGACGTCCTGGATCATCTTGATCTGCAGCTTGTTGAAGCTGTCAAACTTTCGCTCCTCGAGCTTCTTCTGAAAGTCCTCGAGGCTGGGGAAATCACCCGGCGGGAGGTTGTACTTTTTCTGGACCTCACGGAAGACCTGCGGCAAGGCCGCAATAAGCTCTTGTTGCTTGCGGTCCTTCCCAATCATCATGGGCATTTGGTCGCGGAGGTGGCCAATGAGGTATGCGTGAACCTTGGCCAGGCGCACACGCTTAACGAGCTCATTCACCTTGCGGATCGCAGCGTTGTGCGGCAGCTTCCGGAGCTCGCTCATGAGGTCACTGCGCTCTTTCTCGAAGAGGGCAGCGTTGTCGTTGAAGAGTAGTGGCTGGTCCCAGAAGGACCCGATAAAAACACGCATGACTTCCGGAGTTTTCATGACCTTGCCCATGGACCACATGAGTGCACCGTACCTACACAAACGCCAACATTAGCTTTCAAAGACCAAGCAAGAATCCCAAAAAGAAAGCAGCACGCTCTGATCACAGTGCGAACGCCCGTACATAGACGGCAATCACACCACGACGTAGCGGGTTTGGTTTCAGGGGCCTCTGGGAGGCCTCAAAACCCCTGCGCAATGGGGCCTTCTCGTCCTCGCGTGCTGCATCATTCTCATGCATACACACAATACGTACACGCGCATGAGCTTTTGCTGGTCGATCTGGTCCGACTTGTTGAGAACGCAGCGGATCTTGTCGTCATGGCCCTTGAGGACTTCAATGACGCGCTGGAATTCGTCCGAAATGTCGAGCTTGTGCGCATCGAAGAGGAGAAGGATCATGTCGGCACGCTCGGCGAACCACTTGGCGACCTGCACGAAGTCGTAGCCGCGCGAAATGCGCTGCTTCTCGCCCGACAGGATACCCGGCGTGTCGATGACGGTCATGTGCTCGAGCTGCTTGCATGGCACTTGCGACGCTTCAAACTTGTTGAGAAACGACGTACCAAACATGCTCAGGCCGCCATACGGGAGATCCGGTGAGACGGCGAGCGCATTGCCTGGCACGATGCGCTCCTCGTCGCCGTACATGACGGCCATGAAGCGGTCGGTCGTGGGCTCGGGGCCAACGCGCGCACCGGGGAACTTTTGGCCGAGAAGGTACTCGATGAAGGACGTCTTGCCGACCGAGTACTGGCCGATCATGAGCACCGTGGGCTTGGCGTCAAAGTCGGCTTCGCTGAGCAATGGCGAGTGGAACTCGTCGAAGAGGTACTTCTTCTCGAGCGGCTTAATCTTGGAGATGTACATCTTCTTGAGGCCGTCCGTCACGGCGCGGCTGTTGTGCACGATCTCGTCGAGCGATGCGGCCATCGTTCTCCTCTGCCTTGGATATCGAAACTGTGTATGGCCCAATCTAGTCACTCGACCCATCGACTCTTCGTTTTTGTATACCATACCCTAGCGCTGTCTATCTTTATCCGGATCCTGGTCGCTTTGATGGCACGGAAGTGATCGGCGCATCGACAAGTACACTGTAGGCTTCGGGAATCCGGCTGCGCTCGCGCAGGTGCAGTTCAGGGTGCAGTCCACCGGTCTCGGCCCCAGAGGCGATACCTTTCTTTGCGGGTCATCTTTAGGGCCACTTGCATCGACTCCTATTGGTAGGCATCGGAACAGCGACGGCTCTAGAGGTAATGACACTCATGCAAGATGCGCTCATGTTTGATGACGCAAAGGCGGCCCTGCGACGTACGACTGCGACGCGTTGCGGTGGCTCGTCGGGATGAGCTACAATGCGCTCCGTATCTCCACATTTCAAGAAAGTCCCGGCAAAGTGTTTCGAAAGTCTCGCGTTAAATGGCACCGAATGAGACATGGTTTTGCCTAGAATACATTCGGCAGGCTCATGTGTCGCATGCACTTGAAAGTTTTCGCCGTTAAGTTCGTCACCACACCCAGGTAGGAATTCGCCACGAAACTCTAATTTTCTTCCGTGAAATAGCATGGCTTCGACTATTTTCACGCGTGCAGAACCTTGTGATTGATTTGCCCGACTTTGAAACGATGTTTTGGAAACAAACGATTCAGAGCACGATGGTCACGATCGGTCGACATTTACGTTGCTCTTCGCGACCTTGTCAAAGAAGAAGTGAACGACGCACTGCTGCGCTGTGCTGTAGCGCGAAATATCGCGAAATATTATAAGAATACAGTACAGTAGTGGTAAGACAAGAAGACCCTGTTGTGAATCACAACATAGTCTTCTCTTCAGGTACACCTTTACAACTTGTTAGGAAATCGTTGCTGTGCCGCAAATTAAACGATTGCGAGTGTGGTGCGCATCAGGTTGATAGCCATAGTGCGCAAACAGTTGATAGCAATTCCTTGTCAAAGCTCAGTCAGCCTACGTTTTCGATGTACTGGACTCTCGGGTTTGCAGCTTTGTCCGTGTAAGCACTGCCGGTTATTGGATCATGGGGGCTTTACCACCCTTCCTACGCAGCACGAGCCACTCCTTGGAAATCATGCTGTGCCATGAACGATGAGCCTTTCTTGGCAGCACCACACACAACAGTGGATCCGATACAGCCATTCGAAGATATTGACTTTGCCAGGCACCAGGCGACCAAGCTGTATCAATTCTTAAAGGTATTGCCTTTGCCCACATTTTCCGAGCACTCGCATAGATCGCGCACAGGGGACGGACGACAGGGACCGACGACGATGGAAGCCGGGCGCAAGAAGTTCGTCGTGAAGCCCTTCCGCAGCAACGTGGGCATGGATGTCACGAAGGCCAAGGAGACATGGCAGGCCCTCCGATGCGCTATCAAGGAGATCCATGGCCACAACGCGTCGCTCCTCTCGTTCGAGGAGCTCTACCGGTACGAGCATGCGTCTCTTTATCCGCTTCTGTGAACGAACCCCCGTATGCGTAGGAACTCATACAACATGGTGCTGCACAAGCACGGAGACATGCTTTACGCGGGCGTCGTCGAGTGCGTCACGGAGCATCTCGTTCAACTCGCTGACCGCGTGATCCAAGCACCGGACGAATCGCTTCTGCTCGAGCTCTACGCAACTTGGACGGACCATACAATCACGATGACCATGATTCGCGATATCTTGATGTACATGGATCGCACGTACGTACCCGGAAAGCGCAAGGTCCCGATCTACGATATGGGCTTGCTCCTCTTCCGGGATACGATTGCCCGTCACCCGAACGTATGTAGTCCATCTCATGCTCATATGCGTGAGGAACCAAATCCGCATAGGTCAAGGATCGGCTGCGATGGATGCTTCTCCAAAACATCGAAAACGAGCGCAATGGCGAGCTCATCGACCGTGGGATAATGAAGGGCATCTTGAGCATGCTCGTGGACTTGGGTCTCCACACGAACACGGTACTTGAGAACACCATGGTCGCACTTTGACGACTAATGCATTGACCAGGTGTACGAAGACGATTTCGAAACCGAGTTCCTCCGCACGACGGCGGCCTTCTACAACGCCGAGGCCCAGCGACTTCTGGACCAAAACACGTGCCCCGATTTTATGCAAAAGGCCGACAAGCGCCTCTCGGAAGAGCACAACCGCGTGTTGCAGTACCTCAATGCCTCGACGGAGGCAAAGCTCAAGGCAATTGTCGAGCGCGAACTCATTGAGAACCACGCAAAAGCTTTGGTCGAAATGGAAGGCTCGGGGTGCGTGGCCATGTTTCGCGAAGATCGCATCGATGGTATTACCTTTGAACCGATGCTTTTATGTTGTATTTGTCAATTGCACAATTGTAGACCTGCGACGCATGTACGTCCTCTTCAAGCGCGCCCCGCCGTCAGCACTCGAAGAGATCGGGTCCTGCTGCACAAACTACATCAAGTCGACGGGTCTCGACTTGATCCAGACGCAGTTGAACCAACACCAGCCGTCCGAAGGCGCCGTGCAGTTTGTCCAGGCCGTCTTGGTACTGAAGGACAAGTTTGCAATGTTCTTGACGCAGTGCTGGGGCGACGACAAGGCGTTCTACAAGTGCATTCAGCGCGGGTACGTCATCGTTCCATGTGCCATCATACGCTAACGCGACGGCAAAGGTTTGAAGCCTTTCTCAACACAACGCGGACGTGCGCGTTCATGCTCGCACAGTTCCTCGATGATCTCCTCAAGTCCAAGTCTCGCTACGACAACGATTTGGAATTTCAAGTCGACAAGGTTATTGGGCTATTTCGCTTCCTCAGCGACAAGGACGTCTTCGAGGAGTACTACAAGCGTCTCCTCTCGAAGCGCCTACTCAACGCCAAGGGTTCGTCGGACGAGGCCGAGAAGATGGTGATCTCCAAGCTCAAGGCCGAGTGCGGCTATCAGTTTACGTCCAAGCTCGAGGGCATGTTCAAAGACATGGCGATGACGAAGGATCTCATGGACGGGTTCAAGAAGCACTCGCAGACGCTGCAGGTCCAAGTGCTCACGACGGGCTTTTGGCCGACGGAAAATTGCCTCTCGACAGGTCTCGTTGCACCACTGGAGATCCGCGCGTGGATTCACCGCTTCGAGTCGTTTTATTTTGGCCGCCACAACGGCCGGAAGCTCAACTGGCTCTACAACATGGGCTCTGCCGATGTCAAAGCAGTCTTCGGTTCTGGTACAACGTTTCACACGTATATAAATGCAAATTTCGCTCTTGTGTAGGACCCAACGTCCAGCGCCACGAGCTCACGGTCTCGACGTACCAGATGTGCATTCTCGTGCTCTTCAACGACCGCGAGAACATGACGTACCGAGACATTGCAGCTGCGACCAACATCGAGCCGTCCGAGCTCAAGCGTCACTTGATTTCGCTCTGCACACCCAAGTTTCGAATCCTCACCAAGTCGTCGCGAGGCAAGGGTATTGACGACGACGACTGCTTTGGTGTCAATCACGAGTACAAGTCGAAGCTCCACAAGGTGCGCATTCCACTCGTGTCGCTCAAAGATAGCTCGGGGGATGCGCCCGCCAGCGTCACGGTCAGTGACGAGCTTCCGTCGACGGTCGCCGAGGACCGCAAGCATCTCATTGAAGCGGCCATTGTGCGCATCATGAAGACTCGCAAGTCGATGCAACATAACAACCTTATGGCCGAAGTGACCCGACAGCTCGCTACACGATTCGTGCCTTCGCCTCAGCTTGTCAAGCGGCGCATTGAAAGTCTCATCGAGCGCGAATACCTGACGCGGAGCCAGTCTGACCGCCGGCTCTACAGCTATGTGGCTTAACTGGCCCAGGCGTTTTGATTGAACCTTGCTCGTGACCTTTTTCTATATAGCACTTGCTCAATTCCTGTGACTTTCTCACCTTGAAAGATTGAGGGACAAAACGTGGAGAAGTTGGAGCATCCTCTTCGAGAGAGTTCTTCCGTCCGTGGCGGTTTCCAGTATTTTTCTCTTCTAGATTTCGGAAATTGCATAGTTTTACCTGTAATTTTACTGCATTTCTAGCTACCGGATGCTGGAGCGGTATTCCGGATAGAGCTCGCCACAGAATCCCGGGCAGCGAAATGGCTGCGGAGGTACGAGCAGCATGGGAGCCACGACAGTCCATGAGTGAGGATTTCTTTAGTGTGCCACGGCGGAAGCGGACGCATGGCGCCTCGAGCGCCGTCTTGATAGAGCGATATCTGCCAGTGAAAGCGCCACCGTCGCGAGCTACATGGGCGTAGAACGGCGGGCGTCCAAGGCAAAGCTCAGTCGCCACGACTACTGGAAGCTGCTCCACGGTGCGATCCCGACAGAGTACCGCGATGAATTTGTCGTGAAGAAGAAGGTTGCGACGCTCGTGCGGCCGTCGAAGGACCCGTTCGGCGTCCAGATTGTGAAGCAGCACAACCAAGACTTGCTTCGGCAGCTTGCCATCACAATGAAGCAACTACCGCACCGCAAGACGTCGCAATCTGGCGCCGCACCATCCCGCCCACTCGAGCGCCAGGTCATGCGCAAGCTCCACCGCGTCCTGGATGACGAGATGACAAACTACTCGTCGACGCGACAAGGTCAAACGTGCGAGATTTCGGAAATCGAGGCCCAGCTTGCTTCGTACCGCCTCGAGCGTGAATCTGGTGCGATCGAAAAGGCGCACGATGCGTGGGTTGCGAAGCGGCAGTGGGCTGTCCTCCTCGACGAGGTCATCGCGGAAGAGCTCGACGACATGTTCGACCACGTGATCGACGAGATTCGTGATGAGGGCCCCGACCTTGCGCTTTCAGAAGAAGACGAACAGACCGTTAAAGACGCGCTCTCAAGCGGTCCTTCGAACAAAGTTCTGTGCCAGAAGTTCAACGTCGACATCACCCGCGCCCTCATTCAGTGCCTCCGCCCGGGCCAGTGGCTCAACGACGAGGTCGAATCGCTCCTTGAATTCCTGAAGTCACAGATGGGCGTGTAGATCATCAACTTTTACTTTCAAATGCTCGCGGAGCGCGACGTGCATGTGAGCGCTGCGCTCGGCATTCCAGGCAGCCACTTCTTCAACTCGTTCTTTTTCTCCAAGGTCTCGGAAGACGGCTACAACTTTATCAACGTTCGCCGGTGGACGCGAAAGGCACGACTCTCGACATCTCGGTGTACAAAACTGAAACCCACGTTGCGTAGCTGGACCTCTTCGCCATGGATAAGGTCTTCATCCCTGTCAACATCTGCAATGTTTGCTCAACTTCCATGGGACAATCACAATTCACTACGATTGAGCTAGGTGCACTGGTGCTTGGCCGTCATCTACGTCACGGAGAAACGCATCCAGTACTATGACTCGATGAATGGTGCTGGCACCGAGTGCCTTTCGGTGTTGCTTCGGTATGTAGCCCACGGTCGCGAGTGCTAACACTAGTACCACAGATATCTTGGCGATGAGCACCAGCACAAGAAAGGGTCGCCGTTCGACACCACTGGGTGGGAGCTGCTTCCATCGCAGCCCGATACGCCGCAGCAAGGCAACTCGCACGACTGCGGGATGTTCACATGCATGTTTGCTGACTACATTGCGCAAAACAAGGTCCCGTCTCTTTGTCAATGCCATCGTCTAACGCGTGCAGTAGGCACTTTCGTTTCGCCAGCGCAACATGGCTTTTTTCCGCCAGCGCATGGTTCTGCGGACGATTGAAGGCTCGATTCCGGACGACGAAGACTTTGATGCCTAAGCCACTTTCGGACTCTTTTGCGTGCTATGGATTTCAAATGCTATTACTGCCGCGTTTCCAGAATATAAATTCCCTCCGATGACGGTGGAGAGCTCACGCAGGAAACAGCAGCAGACGACCGTGGCGTCTGGAGGAGCTTGTCAAAGCGCGGGAGAAAGTAGCCGACGGCGAGCGACGACACGGCGCCGGAAAGGTAGTACAAAAACTGCGCAAGCTGCACGAAGACGTTGAGCGAATGGTAATGGCTTGTCTCGGTGAGTCATATCGGCACGGTCGCAATTGCATTGAGGAGCCCGATTACCTGCACTTGACGGAGCGAGATCTTGAAAGCGCGGGAGAAAGTAGCCGACGGCGAGCGACGACACGGCGCCGGAAAGGTAGTACAAAAACTGCGCAAGCTGCACGAAGACGTTGAGTGTATGGTAATGGCTTGTCTCGGTGAGGCATATCGGCACGGTCGCAATTGCATTGAGGAGCCCGATTACCTGCACTTGACGGAGCGAGATCTTGCTACGCTCGCCGTCACGCTCGATGTCGAACCGGCGCGCGTGAAAGTAGAGACTCATGCCGATCGGGTACAGAACCGTGGCCATGCGCAGTAGACTGTGACCCCACTGTAGCGCCTCGAAAAAGTTGAGCTGTCTTTCATGACCGAAGCCCGCACTGTTGGGATCATCATGTTCATCGACATGGTCGTCGTCATGGTCGTCGTCAGCCCCAAAGTGCAGCCTGACGTAGAGGATCATGCCCAGACCATAGAGACACAAAACGACGTAGATGCTAGCGACGAAGAAGCGCATAGCGCGCTTGCTGTTGGCAGCCGAGCGCGGCGCGAAGACCATGCGCTTGATCTCGTGGACAGCGACGAGAAGCCAGAGCCCGGCCCCGACCTGGAAGATTTGTGCGACGAGGAACGTATACTTTGTCAGCGAGTTGTCCCAATTCGTCTCGCGGCGGTCGAGGTACTTGGCGATGCAGCCGACAAACGTGACGGCCGACCACACGACGGTGCACGCAAAGAACATGAAGAGGGCGCCTTGGCTCGCGTGTTGTTTGACATTGGTCCACTTGAAGACGACGACGCATGTCACGAGCGCCATTGTTGACGACATGGTCAGGGCCAGCGTGTACGGTACGAGCATGTAGTCGGCGAGGCCGACGTTGCTGCCAGTGTGCAGCACCCGCGTCGCGCGCATTGCCGCAACGCTTGCAATAGGATAATTGCATATCACACAAAGACTCGAACAGATGCTGCTGGTCGGCCTTCC